GTAGATCCCTGATGATAGTGCATAAAAGTATACATATATGTGGTCTATCGCATTAAGGATTTTTCGTTTTTACTTACATATTCTAGGGACGCTGATTCAAACTGCTGTCAAGTAGAGGTATGCTTTATCATCACTCAAGATAGTTGGCACTTGCATTTACGTGGTCGTGGTGGGGGGGGGGAGGATAAAAGTAATCGTGAGGTGTTTTCGCACATAGTATATCAAAACATCGCAACATATATCTTAGCCGTGTAAAAAACATTCAGTAAAACACCATTTAAAACAGCCAAATGTAATATTCGGTGTGATGACAATATTTTTCTTTAAAAGCGTAAAACGAAATCATATAAAACCAACTTCACAATGGAATTCAAATCGTAGGTGAATACTTCTTCTCTATGGAATCAAGGAGGAGGGAATGAAAGTGAAGCAGATTCGTCTTGGTGATGATTTAAATACTCACTGGTATTTAACTGTGCACCCAATGTTCTCGTTTTCAACAGCAGATCTCTCAATTAAAACGCTTTTGGAAGCTCACGAAGTTACCTGTAGATCTAAGGAGCAGTAGTAACCAGTGGGATCAAGTCTGCCTGGAAGACAGTTACTTGTCTGGCTGGTGGTTGCGATATGCAGAGCAAATCTGGAGAATTTGGAAATCATGGGCTACTGGATCGTGTCACCGTGAGTAAATGGTCTACAAGCTTGCCTTGTTACTGAGTCACCATGGGTTTGAACCCTGGTGTGTGAGTATCGATGGTTTTCCAACGTTTTTCTTACTGAAGTCAGTCAGTTCTTATCAAACCTGTAATTAATCAAGCCCCTGCAAACCGACACTTGAAGACACCGATAACTCTGGCAGCGCTAAACTACCTTAGGTAGGACAAGAATCCCGTGACAGTGACACAGTATCACTTATTTATTAATGACGTTTCAAGCTACTTATTACTTAGCAAGTAGTATGAATGAAAATACAAAACATACACACAGACACCCATTAAGTTTTGGGCCTGAGGGGGTAAAATTCTCTGAATGATAAAAATATTTTACACCTTCATCATTTATCGCCAGTCAGTTCACGATCGAACTTCTAACTGATCAAATCTCTGAATAATAAAACTTGAAAATTATTCTTAAGTAGTTCAGATCATATTCGAAATTTGCACGTTAACATATTTGTAATTAAAGAAAGAAGGAATATAATTGTAGGGGCTCTTTTTAATTTGTGGATTGATTCGTTTGAACTGCATACATCCTAAACAAATCAATTTTATGTTACAAAATGGTGTATGAACACACTTTTTACAATAATTTCAAGTTATAGATAGAAAGTATGTATACGCAACACAATTTATCTTGCAAACAAGGATGTGCTAAAAACAAAATACAAGATAAAACAACAGAGTGAATTTATACATATTGTGCAGAGTTCTGGAGGAAGGAACAACTAAAACAATTTCTCTCATGACAGTGGACTAACAATGCACAATATCCTGGGAGCAGTTGTACCAACTGTATGTTTGTTGAACAAACAAAGAACAACAAATATACAAGAATTATATGAGCTCATCTTTTATTATTTCGAGGATTCTTCTCAACTGGTTACAACCTGAAAGATAAAAAATATGAATTACATTAAAGATTTGAACATACTTTTCCACGATCACAAGGAGTGATTGGTAGGAAGTAAAAGTAACATTAGTCCGGAATGGTTTAACTGATTAAGAGTTACAAGCACTGACTATTTATAGAATAATTAGACAATTAGGCTTGGAAACAAAAAACAGAGTTGCGTATATATATATGTGTGAGTATAGAAACAAGGTTTAGCTAGAAAGAGCATAACGAAAAAGTGGATTACGTAACTAAAGAAAATGTCTTTTCTAATAGCCAATAGAAAAAGAAAAGAACAAGGTAGTGTGAGTCATGTTTAGATGAATCTCAAATCTGCAGTTTTGTCAAAGGATAAGCAAATAGCATTAAGAAACTTAGTGAAAAATGAGTCTATTGTTATTCTCCGACCTGATAAAGGATCAGGTGTTGTGATAATGTATAAAGATAATTATGTGAAAAAGTGGAATCAGTTCTGAATGACTTATCAACATTTCGAACTGATCCATCGAAGAAAGATCAAACCGAATCGATGGAAAGATGGATTACAAAGAAGCTAGGAGAACTTTTGAAGAAGAAGTTGATTGACAACAACATATACAACGAACTGAAGCCTAAGGGATCCAGATTGCCTTAGCTGTCACGCCTACCAAAGATGCATAAGCCTGACATCCCTACGAGACCAATATTATCTATGATTAATTCGCCGTATCACAAAGTAGCTAGGTGGCTAGCAGAAATTTTAGAACCAATGCGTGGTAAATTAGTAGTCTACAGCCTGAAAGACACCTTCCAATTCGCTAAACAACTAGGGAATCTAAGAATCTCAAATAAATTTATGGTGCCCTTTGACGTGCCTTCACTGTTTACAAAGATCCCATTGGAAGAAACAATACAAATTATGTGTGAGCATGCCGAACTACTTCCTCTGCCCAAGAACGAAATCAAACAACTTTTACTTGTGTGCACCAAAGACGTACAGTTCCAGTTCAACAACACTACCGCCAAATCGATGGAGTCGTAATGAAAAGCCCCCCGGGTCGGATTCTGGCAGATATTTTTATGGGCATTCTAGATAAAACAAGGTTGAAATCTGCAATCAGTCAGACCAACTTCTATAGTAGGTATGTCGATGACACGTTGCTTATTTGTAATTCTTTTAATGATGCATCTCAAGTATTAAAAGTCTTAAACGGCACCCATCCTAATATTAAGTTTACAATGGAGTATGAAAAAGAGGAGAAGTTCCATTTTCTTGACCTGGGTATCCAACGAGATATAGACGGCAAAATCATAATATATATACACAGAAAAGAGACCTGGAAGGCGGTTTATCTTAACTTCAAAAGCTTCTGCCCTATAAGTTACAGAAAGGGATTGACGATAACATTATTTGATAGTGTAAGGAAGCTGTGTTCAAAAGAAAAGATTGAGGAAGAGCTATCCATTGTGGAGAAATGCCTACACGACAGCGGTTACCCGCAAAAGTTCATCGACAAATATGGGAGACGTCATGTTGAAAAAGTGAAAAGCAGAACAGTAGAGAAAAAGCATTCAAAATTGATGATACTGCTAGCAGAATAAGGTGCAGACTGAGAAGAACATATCCAGCCGCCAAGCTTGCATGTGTTTATCAGACAACTAGTTATTTGAAACAATGAAAAGTGGACAAATACCCACCTCATGTTACCTCCAGCTGTGTCTACCAATTTATATGCAGATGCCAAAGCAAATACATTGGAAGAGCAGAGAGAAAGGTTATTGTCCGCATTTCTGAACACATACCAAAGAACCTGAGACTGGAAGGTCCGCAACCATTAAACATTGCGATTGCGTGTCACCTATTGGACACTGGTCATATTGTAGGCAATCTGAAGTTGTTCAAAATAATCAACAAGCAAAAGAAACCTAGCTTGCTACGCCTTGCTGAAGCAATTGCTATCAAACGACTTAAACCAAATCTATGTATGCAGAAAGAGACAGTGGTGAATTTTGCACTGCACTGGTGATAACAAAATATACAACTTTTATGAGTCACTCTTTTTCTTGTTTAGAAAACCCTACTCTCTCATCTAAACATGACTTACCCTACATTGTTATTTTCTTTTTCTATTGGCTATTAGAAAAGACATTTTCTTTAGTTACGTAATCCACTTTTTCGTTATGCTCTTTCTAGCTAAACCTTGTTTCTATACTCACACATATATATATACGCAACTCTGTTTTTTGTTTCCAAGCCTAATTGTCTAATTATTCTATAAATAGTCAGTGCTTGTAACTCTTAATCAGTTAAACCATTCCGGACTAATGTTACTTTTACTTCCTACCAATCACTCCTTGTGATCGTGGAAAAGTATGTTCAAATCTTTAATGTAATTCATATTTTTTATCTTTCAGGTTGTAACCAGTTGAGAAGAATCCTCGAAATAATAAAAGATGAGCTCATATAATCCTGGTACAAGTTTTGTTCATGCTTTGTTCAAGTTTATTAATGGGAAGAATTGCATGTATGTTTATCCTCCAGATTCCTCCAATCATGTTGCTTTTTCGAAGGCATATGCAGTATAGAGACTGTTCCAGTTGCGAAGAGCTATCCCAACACTAGATCAGATGGCATCACGGAGCCACTTACATGCAATACTTCTACCATTGGTTAAGAATGGAGAGTTCAAGACGCGTATTGGCTGTAACATGCCAAAAGTACATGTAACGATTGATGATGGGTTCAGTAGAGTCAATGAACCTTACACCATAAAGAATCCTTTGGGTTTAGAAACTACTGGGATCTTACAATTAGACCCTAGGAGGAACTATTATGATGAGTCATACTTTATGCACAAAAAAAAGATAGTAGTTATGTCCGGAAAGTTTTATAAGAACGAGCTTGACGACGCAAATAGTCACGTATCGATATCCGTAAAACATCATGACTCATTTATACATATGTGTCAGTCACATTTTATTGCGGAACACCAAATATGTATTATGAATCTTCTTTTCACTGAGATTACTGATCAAATAAGTTGTTTATTGTCTACCTACGAGAGATCTGTCATCATATCTAGTGATACCGATCGTCAGTAAGCAAACCATATTGACTCTGATATTTCTTTAAACGCACGGCTTTCAAATATTCATCCGGATAATCCACAGATCAGTGATGCAAAGATAATTAGCACAGAGACGACCTCAGATATTTTAGATAAGCGATTAGATGAATCATCAGTTGCAATGGGGTACTTCAAAGAATAACACCAAAAGAATACAAGGTGAAATTATTTATGTGACAGAAAATTATTTTCAATACATTCAAATACTAAATTAATAGGGAAGTTTTTTTTCTTTTCTTAAAAATTCTTCAACTTTTTTTTAAAGCACACAACAAATGCTACTTATATTTCTGAGTCTTGACGATCATCATTCTGACGATAGTCTTTTATATGTCTACTATTATGAATTAAGTTATCACCACTATTTTCACTATAACTATAATCGCTGAACTTTTCAATCGATGGTGGGGGTACACTTAGATTTGATTGTAGTTGACTATGTTGATCACTGAATGGGTGACTTTTTATTGATTTATTATCATCTACTGCCATTGCAGACACAGGGACAACTTCTTCAGGCCAATGTCTTTTAATTAATTTCCAACGACGTCGTGTTTTCACTTTAGTACTCATTGGAAATTCTAATACCCAATTTTCAATATCCCGACGCAGTTCACGACAGATTAAACCGAATGAGATGGCTGCAAGTAGTGAAGTGAATCCAGACAGGATGGCGAATCCATACGACCAAGATGGCCAATTCAATATTGGATATGGCATCCATGTCTCGGTTTGATAATTAACACCGAATATAATTACAGCGATAGTCAGTAAAATGGCTGGAAAAAAAACAAAAACGTAAAAATAACACAAGTAAAAAGTAAGTTGGATATATGAAATTTAATGTGATTCCATTGTATTTTCTAAATGAAGGTTTTTAAATCTATGTGGATATGTTAGCAGTGTAAAAATAAATTCAAAAATATTTTGGATGAGATCAAGAGATAACTAAGTAACATTAGTTGAAGGATCACTAAAAACCAGGAAGTATTGAACAGGGCTACTTTGGGACTCCTCAGTAGCAAACACTCATTACTCCACTACAATCTAACTAGAAATCGACCAAACTCCAATGCAAACCGACACTTGGGAATTAATCTAATGCTTAATACTGACTGAATACAGGATGAAACGAAGGGTACTGGATTCGAGTTTCAGCTGGGATACCATCACTCACTGGAGATTACAGGTACGTCCAGCTAAAAACTTCCAAATACGACGAAATGAGCATCCAGGACCCTACTACTGGTTACCATCCACCAGATTACTTCATGTTAATTCCCAGTAATCGTCGGAACGTCGTTAGTAGGAGCTGTGTCAACAGAGGCTGAACATTTCGGTTCAATCGATCAATGGGAAAATCAAGAATGACCTAAAAGTAAGTAATTTTATGCAAATGCTGATAAAAGTTTGTCATATATTCTTCGCTAAAAGGACCAAGGTGTCACAGACGTAAACAGGAGACTAGTCAGCACAACAAAGTATTGTATGACTATGAGATGGAAGTGATTTTGGACAAGGGTGATACAATGTCACTACTACAATATGCGTATGTATTATCCTTCAAACTCACAAAATGTACTTATTTAACATGAACCAGAGAACTGTTAGTCAAATCGGAATAACAACTGGACCGTCCAAAAACACGAGATATGCATTGATATAAGAATAGAACGTGGGCACTATGGTAGAATATATTTCCATCACAGAGTAAATTTATTCGATAAAATCACATGGTGATACAGCCTTTTTACCAATAACATTTTGGGCAAAATTTATTGCTCATAATCAGTACTAAGGCGCCCACATAACTTTGAAAATTCGTTTATATAATTCCATTGTTTCTTATCTCTTGATCTTTGTCCACACCTCTAATAGACTGCAGTCCAGATGAAATAAAGAATGAGTTCTATCAAAAAGTCATCTAGTTTGGTGTGAAGAGCAAAAAACCGCCTAGGTGACTTTAGAGCTCGAGTAGGCACACCGTGCCGGTTAAAAAAGTATACCGGAAGAACTCATAAAGTTCCATGCCGACGAGCCAACAACGGTGGTTGTCTTCTAATGTTGTGTTCAGATAATCACCTGTCCCTCATCAGCAATAAAATCAAACATAAGGAGAGACAATGCCTAATCTTCCACCAACGATAGAATCAAATAAACCACATAGCGATAAGCTATCGACGTAGAATGTTAGAGGAATATTATCGCTCCTTCTGGAAAACCGGGGTAGACTTTCGTTAAACTCTAGTCTGTGTACGTATACTCCTGAGAATAAACACACATGAAACAGAAAGCTGTGAAGCTGTTACGCCCCAACTTGATGAGAACACGATGTCTGTATTTAGGGAAGAAACAGCTAGGCGCGTCTCTGAGACTGACAGCAAGAGGATCTGAGGAAGCCTGGTATAAGATCCAGTCAGGTGTAAAAGCAGTGGTTAAGGTTATTCGTGTAAAACCAAAGGTTAGAAAATGTCAGTGGATTTCTACTGCCTAGTTCAAACTGATAGATGCAAGAATACTCATTCGGATGATCTTGAAACATGCTTAAATGCAACCTAACTAAAAGTCTCTGCAACAGCGAAGAATGGTGGACAACAAAAGCCAAAGATGTGGAAAAAGCACCTGCGGTAGTTAATACCAGACAACTTTTTAGGCTTATTAGGGAAACTGGTTGTAAAAGACAAATGATAAGTGAAACAATTTTCTAGAAAAACGATGCTTAAATTACTTCTCACAATAAGCAACTGGAACACTAGAGCGAACACTTTGAGAAGCAATTTAACTGGTCTACAGACACAATAAATTTGCCCAGCATTCAACACCTGCGTGAACGGGATGTAGACGTTGGTCTCCCAACCGTTACTTAGGCTGTAAAAGCTGTCTCTAATCCAAAAAAGTCGGAGCAGCGGAACCTGCTGGAATGAATTCAGAGGTGATTATCGATGTTGATGACACTCAAATCTGAAATGGTCCCATTGAACTGGTGTGAACCACTGATTATCCCACTTTATAAGAAAGCATATAAGTCTTCCTCTGGTAGTAGTAGGAGGACCAGCTTGACTATCACGATGACTCAAGTTCTAGGCTCAATAATCATGCGTTTATTTGAGCAATGCTCGGGAAAAACAAGCCCAAGTAGGCTTTAGACCAGAAAGAAGATATATATATCTTCCCTTTGACAGATTTTGAAAATGATTATAATCATCGGTGTCTAGCAATTGCCATATCTTTTCACCTGAAGGCATCTAAGTCCGTCAAACCTAAAGTCTTGTGGTAATGTCTAACAGTGAAGAAAATGTCGAGAATTACAAAGAACCAATTTCCCTGACTTAGTGTGTCGTTGATATCGTCCTTCTCGGCGAAAACGCTGATGAAATGCAGTCTTCTTAACACTTAAAGCAGAAATCTACGTGTTTGGCATGCAGTACGTTCCTGTAAAGTGTACGATAATGCTATAGGACTGGTCTGCGCCTACTCGTAGTTTAAAAATGGGGAATGGAGTGGTATAGCGTGTTGATCACTTCACTTGCTTGCGAATTTGTATCAGCCTTAATGAACTGACTGCTGACAAAATCTCAGCACAGATACTGAAAGTTCATATGGCATTTACCGACTTACTTTATCTCTGAGATATAGATGATATCCAGCTATCGATCAAAGAGCCTGTATACGGTGCACCAGCTTACTCTGCCCTTTAGGGCCATGAGACGTAGCCGTTGAAAGAGGAAAATTTAAAGCTGCTTGTCTCTGGCGATAGATGTTCGGGTTCCATCTCCAGCGTTAAGTGGTATTATATGGTAGGCTAGGCGTACAGTGCCAGGTAAGAACGGTAAGTCTGTAGATGAAGTTGTGCAGCCAAACTGACTGGGGTGTTCAGAACACATACTACGTATTCCGATCCATAGTCGAGAAGTGTTGGCTGACACAAGATTATGCTAGAAGTGTTAGGCGCGGTCAAGCCAAAACAAGACAACAACGCATGAATTCTTCGGCCGTTTGTGTGAGACACGTAGGGATATATAGGGTGCCTGACTGGGATTTTCTAGACTTTAAGAAACAATGGCTTGAGACTGTTGCTGATATGGTTCAAAACTATTCTCAATAGTGCAGATGCGTTCACTCTTCGTAATCTCCCAAACAGATTGAGTTCTGATGTTCATTCTTTCTCGCGTGTAATACCGTTCATTAGAGTTCCTCTGAATTTTTTCTCTACTTTTGCGTGTTTTATGAAGCATGTAACTTGAAATGTTGTACTTCTGTGAAAAATTCTACGTTGAAGATTCATTCAGTCTGTCATTAATCACATTTAAACACCAGGATTAAGCAAAAAGTCCTTTGAATGGAACGAAAGCACGTATTATTAGACACATGATGCATCAAAACCTTCCCTCTCTGTTTGGAATGACCTCTTGTCAGACATACTTTTGGATCCTGAGGACGGAACTTTAAACCGATGTGCACAACGGAGTATATCAATCTCCTACAACAGGCTAGTTGTTGTATTTTTTTTCGTTTTATTACGTATCGTAACTACGAAGTGAACAGATTCGTTTATCAGACCGATAAATCATACCTGTTAGAATTTAAACTCCTTGAGATAATTTTTAAAAGTAATCCCCAAAAAAAACCTTCATTTAGCGTACTTTTGAGTTCAGAGATTGTATTCAGAGACATTTAATGAGATACAACACAGTATCAGTCAATGGTTGCATCCTGACTGCTTATTCAAGCTAAATTCCATTGGGATGAATGACGGTTGAAATTTATTATTCTCATGATACACCTACCATCTGAAACTTATTCATGATACCATAGATGCTGAAACGACTTTCCAACCGAAGTCTCTGAACAATCATTTTCTGGGGCTTGACTATCTGAAATACGCGATCATAGTGTTTTACTATTTTACTTCTTTATTTAAAATTCGACCACTACACTCCACTTCTTAAGTTATATCATTCAGGCTAGACCATATTCACTGAGTCTTGAGACCTTGATCAGCAATCTAATTGTAATTCTGAATATTCATTTGATGGACATCACTACCACTACCTTACGTTTTTATTTATATCGTTTCTCCTCCTACTTACTCCTCAGAAACCATGATGTAGAGTTCTCTGAATTCTCTTTCAAGTATTAACAGGACTTGAATCACACGCATATTTCTCCACAGATTCAGGAGCAATTTATTCATAATATATTGTTTCGTCAATTTCTAATATCTAACTATATATTAACTTTTTTTTCCAAACTGAGTAAAATAAACTTCCCCTTCTCTGTAGATATACCAATCAAACGGCACTGATTTATCAAGTGTCAGGGGCTACTGTGACTCAATCCCTCTCGGATAATATTTCAAAGCTTATGTTGAGATTACCTGAGACATTTTTGGTAGATTATATACTGTCAGCAATATAATAAAGGTGAATCTAAATCTGTATTTTGTGTTTTTGAAGGCCTGGTTGGTTTCATAGACCTTAGAGAGATTTTCTGAAACCTTCAATGCATTTAGATTAATCAAAAATAGGAATGACAAGAAAAACTTATTAACCTGATGGCAAATAAAGTATAATTATATTTCAATAGTTTACACGCAATGATAAGTTTTGTTATTGGCAATTTTGCTCGAAATATTACCAATAACAAAACTTATCATTGTGTGTAAACTATTGAAATATAATTATACTTTATTTGGTCTAATCCACAATGCTCAAACTTTTTACTGATATGAACCTGATGGCACTTGTGACGTTAGAAGTTTTTATAATCAAAATCAGTCAAAACTAGAAAAAAGTATCCAAGTAACCAGCCTTCATCTTAAGGAGGAATCATACACTCTATGAAGGGTTCAAAGGAAGGTAGTAAGTATAATCCATACGAGTAAAAACGATTTAACAGTTTGAATCTCCTCTCACTAGCGTATCGTAGGCAGAAGGATCTTATTACATTGTTCGAAATTCCAATAAATCACTATGGACCTGATCTGTCTCTCCTTTTCCTTCCCACCAGGTAGAAATATCTTAAAGTATGTAGCGGGAGAGTTAAAGAGCCAAGGGGGGAACTATGTACCTGTAGAGTACTGGTTCTCCCACCAACTTGTAAACTATTGGAACCCACATCCAGAACAACGTAACTGTGATCTTCAACAACTTATCAACGAGATCAGGCAAGGGCACATACTTATTAAAAAATGATTAACACAGGCATAAAACCCTGCATCTCCAATCAAAATTCAAAATATGAATTCGGATGAAACTCATCTCTATAATTGCTTAAGAAGCAGTGGATTTGATTCATTCCTGGAAACAGTATCAGGGAAACAGTGTGTTTTACACATCTAAAAGCTGTATGCGGCTGTACAACACAAACTATAAACTGTCACGATGAATGTCTTAAGTACTGGCAAACAAGTAATCTATCAAGCAATATTCGTGAATATAGTTGACCGTACTTATCAAGACATTACTTAGTAGTGTAAAACAGGAACCTCTAAAACAAACAACAGTGTAGGACACTGAAAAAATGAAAAACAAATGTCTTCCTGCCCAAACTGTACGCCCGTAGTGATGGATTGTTGTTCTCACATGTTCTAGGAATTAAATGTCTTCATATACATGAAAGGTTTCCTCAGTGTAAATCCAATAATTTGTTTGGGCTTTATAACCTCAGATGGCTGTAAAACGAATTTCAATCTCTGATATAACCCTAACCTATCAGAGGAACAAAAGCAATATCTGAAGATTATCAAAGTGAAAGATACTCACATGATGATGAGTAGCAAAATGTTATCAATGATAAGAAGAATGTTTTGCGTTCCACATGCCTGATTCTTTTGCACATATATGCAATTAAAGTAACCACTGCAATGGCTTCCAGACAAAGGGATATCGTTACTAAAACTTGTGTGATCAGGAACCAAACTACAAGTAATTCAATCGTCCATTGGAACTTAGATGATAAGAAACATACATGGAACCAAATCCGTATATATTTTCCGAAAATATGGAGAAAGAATCCACCAGCAACCGTAATATGATATCATATTTGGATCCAAACGCTGTACAAATCCATTAACGCAAAATTCCCACAATCCTAAACGGACAAATGGTGTGTGTATTCTTGGCCACGACTGTAACCAATAAGGAGTAACAAAAGATACAAGAAGAAAAACAAAAGCTGCATATGATGAAATATATGCAACTTTATACCTCCATTCACTGAAAGGAGAGTGCTTTATCCTTTGTTTAACCCTCATGCGGAAATCAAGAGTTTAAAAAGTCGTTCGAAAGGATAAACAACATTCAAGCATTAAAACAACTCCCTCCTCGAGAAAACACTTACCTTTTGACAGCGGCTCTGTTGCGGAAGATATCATTAACTTAACTTATGGTCTCAGGCAGGTTACTTCGGATCATTTAAATTCGTAGCTGTCCACTGATACAAAGGCATGTGGATTTAACTATTTTCTTAGGTAACCTCATGCGCTATTGTGGCACTCCAATAACTGCAAGTGTAGCAGATGAATTATATTCTAGCCATCTTGGTGAAGTAGCTACGAGATGCTTACTTATTCGACTATACTTGGATGTAATCAAGTTGAATAGTCGCATGGATAAAGTTGAGTCATAGTTAGAGTCTTTAGAGGTAGGTAATTCCCTTGAATTATTGGCCACAGCCTTCATCACTGAACAGTGGATGCTGACCCTCCCTGTTTAAGTTAAATTGCTTAGCTGAAGGCTTCCAGTCAAGCATCCTAACTATTTGGTACGCCTTCGTGTCACTTTCGTTCATTTGTGCACGATTCCTCGCTAGTTAAGGAATCGTCCAGCACTCCGATTTGGTTCCGAATTATAACTCGTAATTTGGATGGTCAATTCCAATGTTTTGCCTTGCCTCTGGTCTGTGCGGAACGAAAACTATAGAAGTTTAGGTATTATATCTTGCGTTAGTATACTTCGTACTATCCGTGAACGTTAATATCTTCAACCTTTGAAAGTCTAATGATACTTAACAACCCGTTAGACTTAATACGGTTGAAATTCTCAGTGAGTCTGCCGGCATTCTACTAGCCAACTCTAAGACTGAAGGAGTGATGGGGTGATAGTGATTCCGTGACAAAATTATTCACATACCGACCGATATGGCTGATCAAGTAAAAGGACAGGACTTCTCCTCGAATGCCAGTCATTATCCCGGCTGGCAAGTGAGGTATGGCTTGCCTTGCCAAACATGCCAAAATGATTTTTCATTCACTATATGATATTAAACAGGGACTCACATCAAAGACTGAACACGGAAGAGGTCAATCATAAGGGAGAAGTCTGAAAAATTACCACAAGCAAGCTGCCCAACATGGCATCGGGCAGATGGGATTTGATTTGACACTGATTAACTAACGGATATTTACATGTCAAAAATTAAACCATTCTAGGATGAAATATAGATTCAGGTATTTTCACTTCAAAAACTAACTATTCATTTCCATATTTAAAGACAAAGGATGAAATCGCAAACGACAAGAATTTTAAAGAGACCAAAATGTGGTCGCTGAGCAGAGATGAATAAGTGCTATAAAATGTAGTTGAAGACTGAACGATCAATTCATGGTTGCTTGCTCAAACCTAACTTCCCTATATTTTCGCGGAGGCTATACACCAATCATCGTCTCATCGTTCGCTGTTCAAAAAGAAGGTCAAAAACCGTCAGAAGTAATATCGTGATTTATTATTGTAATATTTGTTCATAGACCTTAGTTATTATGCTGCCCATATGTTGGTATTAGAGTAAAAAATTCTCGAGTCACCAATCGGTTTTTTGGTTTATGCGTCCGTTAGAACCAAGCGTTCCTGAAAGGCTTCGAGGGACAGCGAGAGGCCCGGCGTAGCAAGAGCTGGGCATTAACGGTTTTGAGATGTGATCGACAGTTTCTGACGGAGACAGTTTGTTACATTTTGGATAGTCTCCGTCAACCTTTCCTGGTGCCGGCCAAGGCTTCTTTGAACAAGCGTTATCTCGAACTTTCTGGAATTGTGGTTACGTCCAGTGATGCCTGGGTCAAAGAAGGGACAGAGCGTCTTGGAAGTAAACAAGAAAATAAGTCAAGTTGACTTCTCTCTTACTTGTAACGATGTGCCTGATGTTAAGCATGACATGGTTGATATTATTGTTTCGCCGTCTAGGGATAATACGAATATCAAACTCCGTAAATTTGAACATTATCATTTACTATAAGCTCACCAATCTTCACTTGCATTCCTCCGAGCCAATAACTAAACCCACCACTGTCATCAGTTACAATCTTAGAAATCATCACAACCCAGCTGCTGTTGAGCACTGTCAGACTTACGTGCGGTACAACTTCGTAAATAAGCTTTCAGTCATTTGGAATAGACTACCAGCTAATGTGCGCGATGCAAACACAATTCCAGTGTTCATCTCCTCAGTCACCACACTGCTCAAAGATGACAATGCACTTCTACGCCTGACTCTTACACCTTCTTTTTCACCCTACATAGATATTTTAAGTTCTTTAAACGTGTAGTTACAACAAACTACAATTATCAATTTTAACATCATTGGAACTAGATGATAAACATTTCTACACAGGACGGTAATATTAGTTCACACATAAAATAAAAGTTAGCATATCGGGACTAGTTAGTTAGTGAACAAAAATAACCATAACTACTAGACAGAATACATATGTATATATTCATTAATCACTCCTTAAGGACTCCTCTTGCTTTCTTTTGCCTTGCTGTTGTTTGTCTTCTTTTTTCTCTCACCATTTTAGCTTCCATTGGACTTTTTGAATGATAATGAATAATGTGGATATTTGACCATTTACAATGACAAATGATCTGCAAACATTATTGGTCCCATATCTTTCAGTTGCCTAGTTAACAACGAATTAACTTTCCCCACGACGCAATCTGGGTTACATTTGTGGAATATACTCTTATACCAATCGAAAAGTATCAATTTGTAATACAACGTCACGATTGTAACTTATAACATAACTGATCGTATCTGTAAAAATAGCGTTCTTATTACCCAATTTGGACATAAATCAAAAATGAGATTCGGATTTGTACACACCTAAGTTATATTGTGGAATTATATATATATTTCTTCCTGTTTATGCAGGAACATACCAATTGTACAGGCATGGATAATTTATTACACAAATTACACATTATTTGATGTATGATGAATTCACAGTTTGGTTGTTCTTTCTGACATCAAAGTCAGTCGGAACAGTCTGCTATAAAGTTTGTTTGTGTAGCACATAAAGAGATATAGAAATATTGTCTTCGCATTAACAAAAAACCCAGACATCACATGAATGTAATACAAATATCTGGGAAAAATAAAGCTTGAAGTCAATTCTCCTATATAACTTTGTTGTGAACAGCACCCTTGGCTTAAAGATTATTGATGTATTATGTTGAGATCAGTGATATATTTATTCCATTTTTTCAGCAGTCTTATCGTAGTTTAATAACAGGAAAGAAATTTGATCGTGGATACGAAAACTAGATAAGGTCATGTTGGGTTGTTTTACTGCATCAAATGGTGCCGAGGTCGATTCCAGAATTCTCCATTTGCTCCATTTGTGTCTGCATGGCGGACTGTATTCGTAAGTTGAGTAAAATGTTGAAAACTGTTTGAAAACCAGTTGCTTCTTCATTTCAGATCATGAATACTCATTTACAGCATGTTCGCCAGCGTCTTCAAATGGTAGAATTGGATCGTTCATGGAATTTGAGTGGTTATGAGATAGACGGTTTGGAATTAATCCTCATTTCAGTTTAGATGCAGGGTTGTTCGACCTCGACCAGAAGATGAATAGGAGCAGCAAAATACCAGAAAGAGAAAGTATGTGAACATGAAAAGGACATTTATATATTACGCATTTATAAATGTTTATCTTAATTGTAATTATACTTAAGTAAACATTTTTCTATATTGTATTTGTTTTCACGTATTTATGCGAAGTCTTAGAGTTTATTTAGTGTCATAATGTGTATTAATGAGTCTGAGCGTTTTAGTGTTCTAATGACTGATGCGTTTTAGAAATAAGTGATGGGTTCTGGTAGGGATAGTCATTGGACAAAACAGTTTATATAGCAAGCGTTTGAAGGTTACAATAGAGTGATAGGTCCTATTTCTAAGGGTAAACTATTCCTTGCTGCTAGTTTATTTATAGTTTTAAGATTGCTAAGGGTGTTGAAGTGCGTCTTTTAGGTGCTGTAGTAGATTAGTGCTTGATTCGTTCTAGGAGTAAATAGTTTATTAATATAATCAGTAGAGTGAAACAGTCTGTATAGAGAGCGTTTGAAGCTTGTAACCGAAGAGCAAGTTCTGACATCTAGGGGTAGGCTATTCCATATTTTAGAATACATGACTGTGAAGAAGTTTTCACGGAGTGTTGACTTAAAAGAATGAGTTGTCACTGTGGAAGTTTGGTTACGCAGATCGTAAGAACCTTCCTGTGCGAATTGTATGTCCCTGTTACCTGAGAATGATATTTTGTGAAGGACCTTAAAGAAGAATATTAGGTTTATAATAAGTCGCCTTGTCCAAAGTGGGTCGAGTTTTAGGATCATGCACCGTGAGATGTAGTCTTTCTTACAATCGTAGCCAAGCAGTTTTGAGGTAAAATATCGTTGGATACTTTCCATCCTTAGCTTGTCACGTGTGCGAGTGCTGCTTATAATAAATGGACAGTATTCTAGTAGTGGTCTGACACATGTTTTGTACAGAATTAGCTTGGCTTCATTGTCGTGAAAGTTCCTGAGTATGCATCCTAAGAGCATCCTCGATTTTCTAGTCTGTGATGCTACTTGCTCAGAGAATGTCAAGTCACTAGAGTACCTCAGGCCTAGGTCAACGACACTTCGGAGTCTTGTTAGGTTAGCAGATTGGAGCGTTAATTTCAGGTCAATTGAGGGTGCACCGAAGCAGATCCAGCCACATTTGTTCAGATTAAATTGGAGATTCCATAGGGACGACCAAGCAGCCATTTTATCTAATTCCTTCTGCACTACATTCTCGAAGTTCCCTAAGTCATCACGTTGGAATGTATAAGCTACTTTTAGGTCATCTGCAAAGATGAATGGTTTCCCGTGCGTGAAGCAAGCGCATATGTCATTGATGTATAGTGTAAATAGGAGGGGTCCAATGACACTACCTTGTACTACACCAGAAGTGA